GGCCTTCAGGGACCAGATGCGTGATACCCATGACCATTTAACACATAAATTAATAATCCCGTCAACAAAAGAGACAATTTTATATCTCCACGTCCAAATGAGAAGAATAGCAGGTCTATGACCAGGATCTTTTTACAACCTTCTTGACCTCAGGGTTTTCTCTGTGCTCCCCTTTCTCTAAATTCCAGAAAAACGCGTGCGTCTCTTTGAGAGACAAAGGAACACGCAAAACTCACTGGATGATTTCATGATTTATGCGTATAAAAGGGCAACTATATTCACAAATAATATGTTGTATGCATTATATCTGTTTGATGTGTTACTGAAACCTATGATATTCTAGTCAATGTTTTATAACCCCTTTTAGTAGATAAAAGTATTAATGTGTATGCAAACTACCCGATATTTGAGTTTGAATGAAAGCTTGCTTTATTCGCCGAACATTGGCGTGAATGAAAAATGCACAAACCTTCTATAATATCCCGCCAGCCCTAGGAACTGTCTCACCTTCTTTTTGTCTTAAGTCTCGGGCAAGTTGCAACCGCTGCAGTCTTATTAATTTGGGGATGCACCTGCCCGTGACCCAAGTGGAAGCCCAGATACCTGACCTCCACACGCCCAACCGCACACTTCTTCGGGTTGGCCGTGAGTCCTATTAAAACTTGCAGAAATACTCCCCATGGGAAACGTGATCAGTAAACGTACTTTTACTGAACGTATTGGCCCTGCAACTGATCTCTGATTGGAACGATCGCTTCAGGGATGGACCAACTCGACTGGCTTAAAACTAGATGGCTCTTTCACGCCGTTCGCTTCTTTTCGCCGTGTTAATAGCACTCCAACTTGTGCTCACATGCTCACCATCACGAGATCGGGCCATCCAGAACTCAACCACTCCGTTGAAGCTTCGTAACTCTGCAGAACTCAAAGTCTTGCAAAATCAGACTCTCTCAGAAGAACTTCGAGGCTCCTCCGTAACCCGGCAACCAACCAATCACCACCGAGGGCTCTCCCAAAAGGACGTCATCTCAGCAACCAATCCGAAAGCCCGGGATTCCCTCAAGCAACCAACAAGGAAGCTTTTCATCACAAACGCAAGTAACGAACAAGGTCTTCTATCTGCTGAAATCGGTGCTAAATTAATTAAGCATTAAACGTAAGACAAATCTCTGCTTTGTGATTCTCTCAGGTTGAACACTCCTTCTCTATGGTGCTGTACTTAGTCTCTCTCTTCGAGAGCTTGCGACTAATGTACAGCACCGGCCGCTCCTCTCCCTCTATCTCCTGGGACAGGACTGCACCCAGCCCTCTGTCCGATGCGTCAGTCTGCAACAAGAAGGGGAGAGAAAAGTCAGGAGAATGTAAGAGTGGCCCGCCACACAGAACAGCCTTTACTTGGGTAAAAGCCTGCAAACACAGCTCCGTCCACTGGACCGGATCTGGTGCTTCCTTTTTAGTGAGATCAGGGCTGGTGAGGGCCGAACAATGTCCGAACAGATTCAATGCCTTTTCGCCTTTGTGTTAATCGCGCTCCAACTTGCGCTCACACGCTGCACCATCAAGCGATCGGGTCATTCAAAGCTCCAAACACTCCGTGAATCTTTGTGACTGCCAGAATCTTCAAAGTCTAAAGCCAAGCAGAGAAACGCAAGCCTCGCTCTCCTTACCCAAGGCAACCAACTTCCGAAGCTCCTACGTCACAAGGAAACCCTCACTCTCCCCGAGGGCTTCCCCAAAGACGTCATCCAAATGACAGATCTACAACCAATCAGAGGCGCTGGAATTCCCTGAGACGAGGCAACAAGGGAAACCCCGCTCAGCTGTCACCAAAACGCAAGTCAACAAACAAAGCTTCATCTCTTGCTGAACTGGTGCTGAATTGATCTTAAGCAGTAAAGATAAGACAAATCTCTGCTTTGTGATTCTCTCAGGTTGCAAGTTAAAGAACTGTAGCGAATATCTTACCTTTTTGGGACTTCATGCAAACTCCGTTAATCATCATCCTGTGTGTGTGTGTGTGTGTGTTTGTGTATGTGTGTTTGCATTACTTTAGTTTAATGTAATCTAGATTAGCCAATAAATTCCTGTTTCAGTATAATAATCATTGTCTTGTGTCGTGAATTTAAAGTTAAAACTTTGCCCAGATCACGCTACCTAGCTCGTAGTTTATAAATTATCACAAGCATGTATTAACCTTTGGCCAGGGATAGTACAACTATTCAAATTGGTAAAATACACTGATGTTAACGTCTCTCTGGACGAACAGTTGATAAAGTGTAAACTATCAAATTTGAAATCAGTTCTAATCAGGTTGACTTCGAATCTTCAGATTTGATTCCTCTCAAAACCTGAGCTAAAATAATAATAATAATAATAATAATAATAATAATAATAATAATTAATTCCCTTACAAAATAAAATAAAAATTAGTTAAATTTCATTACAAGAGTATGCAGGCAGAAAGATGTTAGAAAACCTCGGGTTATTGGTAAACCAGTCACGAACCAGAGCAGCACGATGGAAGCTGACATTATCCCAAACAACAATGTAACGAGGCTGCTCTGGCTGTGCTGGTTCCCTGAGGTCCAGCTGGAACATATGCTCTCTTAGACCATCAAGGAAAGCAAGGAGGAGCATAGTGTTATAGGGTCCTAGAATGGCATGACGGTGGAGTACCCCTCATTGGCTGATGGCTGCACACATAGTGACATTCCCTCCGCGCTGACCAGGGACATTTACAATAGCCCGATGGCCAATTATGTTCCTCCCCCTTCTCCTTCTTTTGGTCAGGTTGAAACCAGCCTCATCCACAAAGATAATTTCATGGGGAACAGGCCGGCCTTCAATCTCAAAGATTCTCTGCAAAACATATGAAACACAGTAGAGTAAATCACTGCCCTGAAGCACAGTTCAAGAGGGCACAAATGGCAGCATAAACTGCTATACTGTGATGGTACACAATACTTCATACTAGGGATGCACCGATACTGGTCTCCTGTACTCGTACTCGTACTCGTTAAAATGCCCCGATACGCCTGGCTCGGTCTCAATATGGTGCTGAATGAGATTCGTTCGACCAGGTAGGGGTGAGAACACATCGGCCACATCAGTGAGCTGGGACGGCGAGAGATGATCCCCTCCTGGGGCCAGAGCGAGAGATTGAGATTTAGTGCTCACTTCTGGCCCGAGATCATCTTCTCCACTCACTACCGTTGCCAGCAACACTGACTCCGCCTCGCTCCATTTTTTCAGGAGGTTGAGGTGGTAAATTTGACGTGCCCCGCTCCTATCTGTGCGAACCACCTCATAATCGAGATCTCCAACTTGCCGTGTGACCTCAAACGGTCCTTGCCACTTTGCAAGTAATTTAGAACTCGAAGTTGGGAGTAATACAAGTACTTTCTCTCCCGGTGCAAATTTTCGTAAGCGGGTTCCCCTCTTGTACAGCTGGCTTTGTTTGTCCTGGGCCTGTAACAAATTCTCCATAGATAGCCGCCCCAAAGTGTGGAGTTTTGTTCTCAGGTCCATTACATATTGAATTTCATTCTTACTTTGAGAAGGTCCGTCCTCCCAAGTTTCTTTCAGGACGTCTAAAACCCCCCGGGGCTGACGTCCATAAAGAAGCTCGAAGGGGGAAAACCCCGTGGAGGTTTGCGGGACCCTCCTGCACAGCGAACAAGAGGGGCTCCAGCCATTTATCCCAATTTTTGGTGTCCTCGTGAACGAATTCCGAATCATGGTTTTCAACATGCGATTAAATCGTTCCACCAGCCCGTCCGTTTGTGGGTGATAGACACTGGTGCGAATCGACTTAATGCCCAATAATTCGTACAGTTCGCGTAATGTACGTGACATAAATGCCGTGCCTTGGTCAGTGAGGATCTCTTTCGGGATCCCCACTCGGGAGATTAATTGTGCGTCCGCAACACTCTTGGCGGAGATGCTGTGGGGCGCCACTGCCTCAGGATATCGTGTTGCATAGTCTACCAGCACTAATGCAAAACGATGCCCTCTTGCGGATCGCTCTAATGGCCCGATGAGGTCCATCCCAATTCTTTCGAAGGGGACCTGCATTAACGGTAGAGGGTGCAATGGCGCTTTTGAGGAGGCCGGTGGGTTTACCAGCTGACATTCACGACAAGACGCGCAACACCTGCGCACGTTCTCGTGAATGCCCGGCCAAAAGAAATGGGCCATGAGACAATTTAGTGTTGTTTGACCTAAATGTCCAGCCATGGGATTACAATGAGCCGCCTGGAAAAGCATTTCCCGACGGCTTTTTGGTACTAACAGCTGTGTTGTATCTTCCTTTGTCTGAGCGTCTTGGGTCACTCGATACAACCGGTCTTTTATAATCGCAAAATATGGATAGGAAAGCGGACAAGCAGGTTGGAGAGGTTGACGGTCGATATAACGGACCTGTTCAAAAGCATGTTTCAATGACTCATCCTGAGACTGCTTCAGAGGAAAATCATCGCGTCTTGAGAGGATCAGCCTCTCGATTTCACTCCGTTCCACTGGTACAGATTTCAGTGGCCCCAGTTCAGCCTCTCCCACCTGCACGAGCGCCCCCCTTCCCTGCTTTTTCTTTTCCCAAGAGACATCCGCACACAAGCATCCCAATAATTCCTTAAAGTGTTAAAAAACTACAAACATGGCGGATATACGTGACCGACGGACAGGTAGATAAATTAAGGGATTTGAGTGATAAATAAGCAATGTCTAACCTGATGAAAAATATGATTTTAATGTTATCCACGTTATAGTTCATCTGCAGCAACACTGTGAACTTCTATAATGATACGTTTGGTCATTAACTCTTAAATGCATCATTATGCAAACACATGAGCAGAGTTCTTGGCATGATAGACCCACGACTAGAAGATCAAAGTGCCTCTTCATTTCTCTCCAATACGCTAGGGAATCAAATTAAACGAAATGTGGATGAGGTTAACTGTGACAAGATGATTGACAGGGCTGTTTAAAGAGTGACAGAATGCGCGTAACTAAGCAACAGAGCGTCCGTTAAAGAAGCAACTATGACAAAGTAGTATGTCCCAAAGCTTGCCTACTATATTCTTCTACATACTCAGAAGTATGTACTTTTTTTCACAAAAATAGTACATACTTTTAAGGCATAGTATAAGTAGGCGAATTGAGACGCAGCAAAACTGTTGACAAATGGTAGTTTATCTATATAAAAAAAAAACAATAAAAAAAAACACATTTGTGATCTGTGATTAATGTTAATATGAGATGTTTAAATTGAAAACAGTGACTGAGAAGAGAAAGGTAGAGAGCACAGCCTACCTTCAAAACTGTTATATTCTATGTCCTTATTGGAGATTAAACCACCACCTGATCAACAACAAAACAAATAAAAATAAATAAATACAAAATATTTGTAAAATAATTCTTTGCAATTACTATGCATGGAAATTCCACATTATTTCAATTTAATTAACCCTGAACAGACATTTAAAGTTTCATTTAATTTAAATTCTAAGCACATAGAGCATGTTTGACCGGTCAATCAGGCCTGACAGGTCACGTGCTATAAATAGTGAACATGGACATACTAAAAGAGTGCTTATAAAGGACAGAGTGAGAGGCTCTATAGTCTTTGGTTCTGTCCACCTTATTTTTTTCCCATAAGAGCGGTGTTTGGCTTCCGGTCTCATCCGCTTCCAACTATTTTTAGCTGTACAAAACAGCTCGTTTTTCTGCTTGATATTGCAAACTGGTGTTTCGTAGCATATTATTTTAATGTATTGTCTTAATTATGAACACACTGGGTTATAGAACTTTACCGTTTATTACACGTTATTATTATTATTATTATTATTATTATTTATTATTCAGAAAACAGCTTACTTCCGTATTGAAAAAGGGCAACCAAGGCTGTAGATGTTGTAAATGCAAAAAAAAAAACCTGAAGGCCGTCAGTAGTCAGTGTTAATTTGAGAGAGAGAAAAGGTCGTTGTTTTAGAACATTAAAGCCCAGCGTTTTCCCATAATATCCTATTCTCTTTAAATAAAATGTTTACCAGAACAACTGTCTGAAAAAAACAACAACAACGGCATTTGCTGTACATATACATTTATTCACAGGTTTTAAAAACTATAGTTACCTCCTGACTCGTGTTGGAATCATTTCATTTCGACTCGCGATTAATTTCAAGGGAACCGATTCAGTGATTCGTGAATCAAACGTCTCTAGGAACAAACAGTCCGTTGTCAGACCGGTGAGGAGAGAGAAGTGAGGAGAGGAGAGGAGAGAAGACTGTATGTGTGAATACAGCAGTCTTCTCATTTAGTGTTATCAGCGGCTGTGTGAGTACAGTACCGGTTTAGGGGTTTTATGTGAATGTTGTTACCTTGGCTAATAAATGCAGTCTTTTGCCTTGAGCAGTGAATTAGCTGATGAGCTAACGTTAGTTAGCAGCAAAGCTAATGCTAATTTTGTAAGAATAACCCTCGCTAGACAAAGATGTCCAATTATAATACTGATTTTTGTATTCATTTCAATGTAAAATCACAATTGCACTGCAGTTTTGCAAGACTTAAAACATTACATGCGAAATATCCCGACAGCCTGCATCACATTATACTTTAATGCAATGATTTTATATCGTCTTTCTTTTTGATTTTTGGCGTTATATAATATACATATTGCCCGTTTGTTTTCAGGTCGTATATGTCAGTATGTGTTTATATATAACTATGTTGCTAATATTATTATGAATGTTTGATCTGTTCATGCCTTTATTGAAGATATGCAAACATTATGTGTTAATTCACAGGTTTAAGCTGTTATTTTGAGAGCACTGTCTGCTATCATAACCACATGAAACAGTTTCACATTAGCGCGCTGTAATCTGTGTGTGCTTGTGTCTTCCAGCAGATCAGGCTGCGGACCCCTCCATGGAAGAGGCCAGCGATGAGGGGCTTTTACTCGAAGCTGGACTCCTCGTCTCTGGGCATGGCGATGCCCCTGAACCTAGCCGTGGAGACTGAGAAAGCTCAGGCCCTGCTCCAGACCTTCAGCACTGCCTCTCTGTTAGCCAGCGCGGGCCTGGGTGCTTTCTGTTTCCTCGCCGACCACTTTCTGACGCTCCCCCTCATCCAGCACCATCTGTGGCTCAGGGCTGTGCTCGATAACGCCGTCCACGGCATCATTGGACTCTGGTCATGGGCCATCGTCATCGGGTTGAGGAAGAAAAGTGACTTCTATGAAGTCGTCTTGGCTGGGTTTCTGGCTTCTATCATTGACCTGGACCACTTCTACATGGCTGGATCATTGTCGCTCAAAGTGAGGCCTTTTTGTTTCTTTTATTAGCATTTGAAAACTGTTTTTTTTTTTGCATTGAATACCATTTTTTTCCCATTACAGTAATGAGAATTGGGTAATTCTAAATTAATAAATATATTTATAATTTTAGAATTATTTATTTGAATCTTAATTAAATGCTTAATTGTTCTGAAAATACTGCATTATTATTATTATTATTATTATTATTATTATTATTATTATTATTATTTAGTGCTGGGCAATGATTAATTGTGATTAATCGCATCCAAAATAAAAGTTTTTGTTTAAATAATATATTTACATGTATTTAAATGTATATTTTATATTCATATAATTTATATATATTTCATATATAAACATAATATATTTTTCTTAAATATATACATGCATGTGTGTGTATTTATATATATATATATATATATATATATATATGTATATATGTATGTATAATAAATATGCACAGTACACACATACATATTATGCAAACAAATACTTTTATTTTGGATGCGATTAATCACGATTAATCGTTGCCCAGCACTATTATTATTACTTATTAATGATAATATTTAATATTTTATCATTTTATTTAAACCTTATAAAATTACAGCCAACTAGAAAGCAATCAGTTTCTGATTCTGTTGTCGCGCTAATTTAACAACTTAAGGTGCTGTCACATTTATTGTTTTTTTGTGAGTGAAATCCATTAATTTCAATAAGAATCCACGCAATCAGAAATTTTGCTTATGGGCGAAGGATTTCCTTGCTCAGATTTCATATCAGGTTCAAGCTGCTCATGCAGATTCACTGTGGTGACCAACAGAAAGCCGTTTTGTTTTAAAGTGGCTTTTGTGTGAGCTGTGCTTCATACATCACTACACTATTCATGACTATTTGCGTTTTTTTGTCTGCAAAATTTTGCTGAAAAAAGATGATTGCATGATGAGTTCATGTCCAAGTCTGACTTGCAAAAATGCCAAGAAAGATTCAAAAGACTCGAAGCATTTGTGAATAGATTTGTTTTTTACCAGCAAACATGACTGCGCCAATGAGACTGCAGCATCAAAATATAGACATGATCAATAGGCTATATATAAGATATTTTTTGTATTTCTATGACTATGACCAGTTTAATCCCTTTGTTATTAGACACTCTTGCTTACAAGATAAAATGATCAAGGCTGACAGCACATAATGCATTTATGCAATGGCATCAGTAACTCAAAGTTTGCTACATTCACTCTAAGGAGACCATCATATTGATCAGTGCAACACGTGGCTTTAACCTAGTTTGTGTGCTTGTGTTGATGCAGGCTGCTGTGAATCTGCCGCACAGGCCTCCGCTGCACTGCTCCACCCTGATCCCAGCGCTCTGCTTCTCCCTGCGCCTCCTCATGTGGGCCTGCCGGCTCAAGGACTCCTGGTGCTCCCTGCCCTGGATGCTGTTCATCTCGCTGGCGTCGCACCACATCCGTGACGGCGTTCGGCACGGTCTCTGGGTGTGTCCGTTTGGAAACACGGCGCCCATCTCTTACTGGCTGTACGTCACCATCACAGCCACTCTGCCTCACCTGTGCTCGGTGCTCATGTATCTGACCGGCACCAGAGACATGATCTCCACCAAACACGGGGTCGCCATCGACGTCTGAAACACTGGCTTGATCGTTTATTTTTCTTTCTTTATTTTTCCCAGCAAAAACATGGCACTGGATATATTTCCATTAGCTCTTTGCCTCATCGCCAATCCAATGTAATTCGTCCTCCTTCCTTGAGAGATTTTCAGTATGTTTGATACTTTTAACTACTGTGGTCATTCAGGTATCAGTGTGAAATCAGGTTGTATTTACTGTGAAGACTGTGAGTATTTTAATATGTATGATGTAGATTAGGGTTGGGCGATTTAAAAAAAAAAAAAAATCTATTTTGCAGCCTTTTTGTACAATATGCTATATATATTTGATATAAAAAGCCATTACAGAGCAAATAGAGAAATTATATTATAATATAGTTTCCAATATTTGCTGATTTGGATTTAGATTCTCATTGCTGGCTAGTAGATAATATTGAATTATTCGTAAAATCGAATAATTTATTAATATGCATCAATGTAACAGTATAAAGTAGGGATGTAACGATTCACTCAACTCACGATTCGATTCACGGGATTGATTTCACGATTCGATTCACCATTTTTTTTTTTTTTTTTTTACAAAATGAGATTTAAGACAAATTATAAATTAAATGTGTCCTTTTATTATTGCTTGGACAAAATGCTGCACGTTTCTTTGTGAAATTGTAATATAACACTATAATAATATACTAATATAGCACTTGCATATTATTGCTCTTTTGTTGGTTTTGATTGCTTCTATTGTCGTTTGTTAGTCGCTTTGGATAAAAGCGTCTCCTAAATAACAAAATGTAAGTATAATGTAAATGTAAATAACAAAACTAAATTGAAATTTTAAAACAAGCCCCAAACCTTATACACAGGCAAGATGAAAGTAAAAAATACCATCTAAACTTTTCTGAAGACAGTAAGTTCCCCTCAGACATACATTCATATAAACTCCTACCCCTAACTGAATCGCGATTTGTTTAGCATCTCAACCGATTTGAATCATCACATATTTAAATCGCTTTTCAACCAGCTCGCGGTTAATCGTTACATCCCTACTATAAAGTAATAAACAGCATTTACCTGCCTATATTCAAACACCACACAAAGATGTCGATGAGCAATTTGAGTGATGAACAAACAAACAAATTGCTAATTTATAGTTGTGAATTAACTCGCTTAAGATTATGCCGTCACATTAGCGAAATTTTGTCGAAAACCGCAAAAAAGGTCCGTTATCAGTAGTGTGGGGATGCAGCTTTGTTTGGCCAGTTAACGCGAGAGTCACATGACCAACTTGAACCTGTTGTGAAACCTGCGTGAGGAAATCGTTTGCCCTCCTGATTGTGTGGATTCCTATTGAAACGACTGGATTTCACCCGTGAAAATTAGTGCAACTGCGGTGAACCTAAATCTTAATGCCGTTGTTGCTACTGAAATTCAATTTTTTTAAAATTATCTGTTTTAATGCTTGCGATAAAAGGAAGGATTGTGAAACTATTAAAGTAACTTAATAGCTTAATAAAAAGTGCTTTTAAATCTAGTTCTAGAATTTATATCGCCAGCAAAATGGATGTGAATGTTGGCTATTATCGCCCAGCCCTAGTTTAGATGGTCTGGAATCACTCTTACGAACCTTACTTAAAAGCTTCAGCATTATGGTGTCATATTTAGCTTAGTGGTATAGACTCGTCTATTCAAATAATGCTGTTTTATTGCTTTTATTTTCCGAAGGAAGCCACAGACACAAGGCTTGATTCATGATGTGTCAGATGTGCCGAGCGTTGAGAATGGATGTGTGTTGATGGTCTTTGTGCTTGTGAGAGCTGTGTTTGCAGTTGAGGATCACTGTAGGCATGCTGGAAGGACGGTATTCTTTCTGTAGTGTATTTAAGCAGCAGAAAACACTGGTGGACCTAGTTTAACTCGGAAAAGGCTTTATGGATAAGCCTTTTAAAATGGTACGGAAAACAGAAATGCTTTCTATTGTTATAAAGATTATTGCTGCCTTTTAAGCCACAGGCTTTGGAATAACTGTAAATATGACTTGCCGACTTGTTTTATTTCCAAACCACTCCGAACTTTTAAATGATTAAATTAGAACTGTTATTAACTCTCTTTGTATACTCACTGCAGTTTAACTTCTTGGCAATTAATCAAGGTCCCCTAGTTAAGAATAGTTCAACCTGAAAATGTCCTCACCCTCAGGCCAGCCAAGATTAAGATGAGTTTGTTTCTTCATCAGATTTGGAGAAATGTAGCATTGCATCAGTGTCTGCAGTGAATGGGTGCCGTCAGAATGAGAGTCCAAACAGCTGATAAAAACATCACAATAATCCACACCACTCCAGTCCATCAGTTAACATCTGGAGAAGCCAAAAGCTGCATGTTTGTAAGAAACAAATCCATCGTTAAGACATTTTTTTTTTTTACTTTAAACTGTCATTTCTGGCCAAAATATGAATCTGTAATCCATAATAAGCTTCCTCCAGTGAACAAATCTCCTGTTGTCTCTCACATCAAAATCCACTGACAAACTTGTTTAGAGCTGTTTTAGACTGTTTTGGCTTTTATTTGATTTTTTCCTGAATTAGATGAGACGAGAACTTCACTGGAGGAAACATTGTTATGGATTATGTACTTGTATTTTAGCTGAAAGCAACAGTTTGATGTTAAAATGTCTTTATGATGGATTTGTTTCAGGCAGGTTTTTTACTTCATAAAACATTAACTGATGAACTGGAGTGGTGTGGATTATTGTGATGTTTTTATCAGGACTCTCATTCTGACGGCACCCATTAACTGCAGAGCATCCACTGCTGAGACACTGATGCAATGCTACATTTCTACAAATCTGATTCCCAAACTCATCTGCATCTTGGATAGCCTGAGGATGAGTACATTTTCACCTATTTATGGGTGAACTGTTCCCTTTTTCTTTGTAAAATTGTATTCAGCTGTGTGCCATCATAGTTGTTTTAATACTTTAAATCGATATGAAGTAAGCAGACACAAAAACAAAATGTGTTGTTACAGACTGCTGTTGGACTACAGATCTCGGACTAAATACTCACTTTGGCTTTCTTCCGGGTCAAATTAAATCATGGTTCAATATTAGTGTTTACAGTACAATGCGTGGTTGATTTAGCATTGTGGTTGTATGCTACCACTCAAAAGTTTTGGATTATTCTACTTGTTCTTTGTTAATATTTCCAATATCATACAGGGATAATACTCTACCCAAAAATGTTAAATCAAATCTTGTATTTTTATCTTTGTTGCCCCATTTTGTCTAGATTCACTGTTTCAGAAATGTTTGTTAAATGGGCACAAACTAATTTCCATCATTATAAACGGTTAAAATATTTTAAGATTTTGAGGAGTATAACCTGTCATGTTTTCAAACTTTTGACTGGCGGTGCAAAAAAAAAAAACAGCTTTTTTTTTTCTCACTACAGTGGAAACTTGTGTGTACTGATATGCTTATTTTGAGAAATAGTGATAGAGTTGTGCATTTATTCATTTGTTATGGTAATAAGGGAATAAGTTATATTTGTGGTTTGATGCCTAAAGCTTAAATCAGTTGTCGAGGCCTTTTCAAACCTGCAGAGGGCGCTGTAGACCAACTCCAGCCATGTGTTTTTTTTAATTATTATTATTAATGTCACTTTATTTATTCATTTTCTGTTTTTTGTTAATTGTGTAACTGTTGTAAATATTTATTTTATTTATATGCTTTTGTTTGCACATAATTTCGATTTGTCAGTAATGTGGTGGTGATGCATCGTCAAGAAATGACTAAAAGCGTTATTTATTTCTGAAAACTGTCGCCAGGCACACTAAAGGTGCACATGCACCCTTCTGTTCCACTGGCTTTCTGTCTTCATTTGTTGCTTCTGACTCCCTCCACTTTGAAGCCATAATGAAGCTCCATTTGATATACTTGAAGATGTCGGTGTCTTGTCAGGCATTCATTAAAAAAAAAATAAAATAAAAAATCATGGTCAAGTTAAGATAATAGTAGGGTAAGACGGGGGAAAGATGTGTGCATTTACTGGCAAACTGTATGATTTAGAGATGAGTTCAGCGTGTACAGGATGATTCTGCATCATACAATGTATTATTAAAGCGATCGTTTATCCAAAGAGGAAAATTCTGTTGTTTACTCACCCTCATGTCATTCCATACCAGATTTCCTCATGTGAAACAAAAGTTGTACCGTAGTGATTCGGAATAAGACAAAAATGCAGTTTGGAAGATTAATTCTTGATTTACTCACTCATTATATACATTTTGCAATTTTTGAACAGAAAAAGTTACATAGTGCTGCTTTAACTTATGTAAAAAAAAAATCTAAATATCCTGCTGTGTCCACAAATCCCCCATCAGCAAATAGAACAAACGTTTCAGATTACTATTATCCGAAGACTAATACTAAAATTCAATCATGTTCAGATGAAAAGTTGATTAATATGGTCACAGCCATTTAATAAACATCTTAAGACTATGTTTATAGTGACTTATATGATTGAGGAAAAAATAAAGGCAAAATTCCATTGCCCAGATGGCCAAAACTAGCCTGATGCAGCACTGGCATTGTTTGAAACCCCATAATCCACATCTTGATCTGCAGCAGAAATGATTCAGATGAACATGTAAATATTAGGATTATGTGATTTAAAGGCAATATAACGTGTAAATCCCCACAGACACTCAAATATTGGAGGTATATGATTTCACCGGAGCCTTGGCCGAGTAACAGTACTTTAGCTGTATAAATGCAACAAGCAACTAAAGCCCTGGCCTGATTTTCATGATTAAATATTTGTAAATCGGTACGAGTGATTGGAAGCGAGTTGCTGAATTTTCCACTAAACAAACTGACGATATCAGTGAAGAGATGTCACCAATCTGACAATCAACAGTCGATTTCTTCAGATAAAATAACTTTTATTTCACAAAAATATAGATAGAAGAATAATAAAACAGCTTATGTTGTACAGAAAGAAATGTACATTTACTGTGGATGCCTTTGTGTTCACCTTTCCGTTTGACAGGCAACAGTAGTTACAAATACATCTGGATTTGACATCATGCATGCAACATTATAAAAAATGCAACGAGGAAACGGGAAATACACACACTTTTCTCCAAGAACCTGTCCTGCTTGAAGTATAAAGTCCATCCTGCCAGTAACAGATGATTGCTGATCGATTGAATTGTTAGCTTTGGTTGGGTTTTCTGGAATCATGCATCAGTTTCCTTCAGCGCCAGATTGAATTTCTCTTGATGGTCAGTGTGGAGTGACTATAACACACGCCAGGCCAATAACAACCCTTGATGAGTCGGTTTACAGATGGGATCATAAGATAGAGGTCTAAAAATAAACACAATCAGCTGTGAGAAGATATTTTCAGCATGTTAGTGTTCAGATGCTTTGCTGAAGTGGTTCTCAACTGGTCAGGACCCAAACATGCTGAATGCGAAAAATCTGATGCAACAAACCATACGATTGTGCATATTGCAATCACAAGACACTAGCAAATTAGATGCCAAATGCATTGCACGAAAAAAAAAAAAATATATATATTATTTTTTTTTTTTGGCTTTTTATATTTTTATGGCTTCCAACATATAGAAAAGTTAATATTTTGTGTGTGTAAAACAATTTAGGCCTTATGCTGTTAAAAATTATTCTACCTTTTTATCAACTTGTTTTCTTTCAATTAGGTTTGGTATTTCTTTTTGGAACTGACTGATCGTAAGTCTCATTGAGCTGAGCTTATGCACCTGGATAATTTTGGCAATGTTCACTCAAAAACTGATTCACTCATAAACTGATGCATACGCTCAGATCAACGAGGTCTATCGATCAGTTCCAAAAATAAATACAAAACCTGTGCTAATTTAGAGAAAACAAGTTGACAAAAATATTGAATCCAATATTTGGCAATAAGTGAAAAAAAGGGAAAAAAGTGAAAAAGTGACGTGGCCAAGTATGGTGACCCATACTTGGAATTAGTGCTAATTAATCCTTAATTTGGATGGGAATTAGTGCCCATCCAAAGTGCGCACACACACAGCAGTGAACACACACCCGGAGCAGTGGGCAGCCATTTTTGCTGCGCTGCCCGGGGAGCAGTTGGGGGTTCGGTGCCTTGCTCAAGGGCACCTCAGTCGTGGTATTGAAGGTGGGAGATAGCGTTGTACATTCACTCATTAGGCCACGACTTCGCCCTAACATAGCATAACATAATCCCATAGCATAACACATCCCATCATCCACTTTTTTGGGGGATTTATTTGCTGACATTGCAAGTCAGCAAGTTTTAGCCCAATGCAACAACATTAAAGTAGCATTTTTGGGAAAAGGAAAATCCTTTCCAGGTCAAAATGACGGGAACACTACATTTACTGCGTTGGACGTCCCATGTAAAATCTGGGTCCTGAAACAAAACCAGCTGAGAACCAGCGATTTACTGGATGTTGCTGATCATCAAGTCAATCAAATCTGAAATGCAGCCTAAATTAACATACCGACCAAATCTATATATTCTCCACATGCAGGACAACTTTAATCAAAGCAGGGAAAGAAGACCGATTATACTGATTAAACCAAGAGTATAGTCTCAAATATGACTGACTGACAAAACAAAACACTTATTTTTTCTTACATTGGGAAATGAATTATGCATAAATGATTCACTGTTCAATCATAAAGTGAAGGATCATCAGAGCACCAATCCCATAGGCCACGTGCAGCATGACTACTACTAAAACACGAATCATCTTGCTGGTGGAACAGAAAGAGGCAAAACGTTAAGGCACACGAACGGCAGAGGTTATGAGCAAATGGTGCAAAAATGCAAGAAATGTAACATCTGGCTAAAAAAAAAAAATCATCTTCAATGAATTATCAGGATTATCAAGAAGAAATAATCACAGTGACATATTGGTAAAAAATTGTCCATTATTTTTAGTTGCACTTTTGGTCTTTATATAACATTGCTGTTATCAAAAAGAAACCCAAATGAATATTTAATTTGGTGCCAAAGCCAGAATAGGAATTAGCAGTTTTTGAATTTGATTGAGAAAAAAAAACAAACATATGGGAAGCTTTTTTTCCATCACAGGATAGAGAAAAAAAGAAAAAAAAAGTTTTTTTTTCACAATTCTGCCTTTTTTCCTCACAGTTCTGAGTTTGAGTTTATATCTCACAATGTTGACTTTCCTTCTCGCAATTTTGACTTGAGATACATTAGCAGTTTTTGAATTTGATTGAGAGGAAAAAAAAACAAACATATGGGAAGCTTTTTTTCCATCACAGGATAGAGAAAAAAAGAAAAAAAAAAAGTTTTTTTTTCACAATTCTGCCTTTTTTCCTCACAGTTCTGAGTTTGAGTTTATATCTCACAATGTTGACTTTCCTTCTCGCAATTTTGACTTGAGATACATTATAAAGTCAGAATTGCAAGATATAAACTATGAATTGCAAACTCACACTTCCAAGGAAAAAAGAACGAAAAAAACTGAATTGCGAGATATCTTCAATTCTGAGAGGTGGGAATTATGAGATTTAAAACTCGCAATCACCTCTTTTTTTTTTTGCACAAAATTGTGAAAATGGAAACTCAGAATTGTGATAAAAAAGAATTGTGCGATATCAACTTAGAATTGTGAGGGGGAAAAAAGTCAGACTTGCGGGAAAGAAAAAAAAAAAGAATTGTGAGATGTGAATTTAGAATAAAAAAAAAAGAATTGCGAGATTAAAAAAAGTCACAATTACCGTTTTCATTTTTTTTTATCCCACAGATAAAAACGAAAGAAAACAAGCTTCCATAGATACATATTCCAGACTTGACAATAACCGCTTTACGTCTTTCTTTGGACAACGGTGCTTAGTTTTGTTTGTTTGTACCTAAAGGAAAGATATGCATACTAAAATCTTATAATTCAATAAAATCATATATTTTAAAAGAACTACACAAATGCATGCATTGAGCTTTATGTCACTGGAGAGCAATGTACAACAGACCAGTATGCCGTATACAAACTATCATACAATATAACTGCATAAATGTATAACAATATCATTTTATAGATGAGCTTCAATAGAATATTGTGAATATTAGCTTCAACATAGAAACAATCAGCTTTAATCACCTTACACGTGTATATGTGACACTGTAAGACTGGTTTACATTCATGTCTCCATTCAATGCAGAGAAAATGCCCCAAAAAAAAGTCAAGAGAAATGAAATGCATTTATTGCACTGAAGTCCTGTTTTGTTGAACACCAGCTCACTTAAAGTTACGTGTTTGCTGGCGTTTACTGTCAAGACATGAACTCCGAGGCTGATGTCATGATGAAATGCATTTTATGGGAGTTTATTACTGAGAACTTGATGCTTTAGATGGTTAGAAACTAACCAGATGAAGCCAATCAACTGCAGATGTGTCCACCTGTTATGAGCGCCGAGAAGAAATCATGCAGGAAGAAAGACAAATCAGTTTTTGTCACTCCACAGAAAGACCACCGCGTCCATCGCTGGAGAGCCAAGACAGCCAACTTTCTGTCTTCCAAAGATAGCAGCTGTCTAAAGCTTACAGAGTGTCTTTTTCGCCAGCCACTTTCTTCATAATGCCCCGTATGCTGTGCACGTCCGGCCAAACGAGCCTTTTCACAGCACTGCATGTGTCACAAGTGGAGTCCAGTGGAGTGCGGGGAATATCGGGAAGAAAGAGCAATACAAAAATATGTTTTTCATTGTCCAAGAATTTGCTGTGAGCAGAGAAAAGTAAAGGAGGAAGGAAATCCTTGTGTTTTTCCATTGCATTGTGCTACATTGGAGACTGTACATGTTCACAGTGCACGCGACTCAGAGCCCATCCTCTGAGAGGCCGAGAGGAGAGGTGGATTGTGGGTAATGGAGTCTGTCAGTGGTGGTGATTCCCTATACTGATGCCCTATGAGGGCCGAACTGAAGACAGCCATCTTCTCAAATCTAAGTTAGAGTTAAACAACAAAATTAAACACTTTAAGAGCAACAATTCTGTAACAAAACAATATATATATATATACTGCAAAATACACTACTGTTCAAAATTTGGGGCTCAAATTATATTTATTTATTTAAGAAATTAAAATTTCTATTTAGTAAGGATGCATTAAATTTATCAAAATTGACAGTAAAGACATTTATAATGTTATAAAATATATCTGTCAAATAAATGCTGTTCTTTTGATTTAGCATGGTTTTCACAAAAATATTTAGCAGCACAACAGTTTTCCCACATTGATAATAATCGGCATATTATTATGATTTCTGAAGGATCATGTGACACTGAAGACAGGAGTAATGATGCTGGAAATTCAGCTTTGATCACAGAAATAAATTATATTTTACAATATACTCACATATAAATCAGTTATTTTAAGATGTAATAATATTTCACAATATTACTGTTTTTACTGTATTTTTGATCAAATAAATACAGTTTTAATGAGCATAAGAAACTTCTTTCAAAAACATCACAAAATCTTACTGACCCCAAACGGTAGTGTATTTTGTTGTATATTTTGTATTTGCTTTGAACGAGATATTTTATATTGTCCTAAAACTTCTGTTTAAATAATAATAATAATAATAATAAATAATAATATTAAATTCATGTAAAAAATAGAACAAAAATTAAAACAGTTCATGCAAAAATATACATTTTATAATAATTTATCCACCCTCATGTCTTTTGAAACATGAATACTGTTTTCTTTTTAATAAAAACAAAAACTAAACTAAATAAATAACAGCATACATATTTGGAATGACACGAGTGTGAGTAAATAATGACAATTTTTTGAACATTTCCATTCAACTATTAATTATTACATCATGTGGGAGAGTTAGGAAGATCACAGGCTAATATAGAGCAGGCGTCTCATATAAATCATCGTGTTTACATCTTCACATTTTCCCACTTGAGCCACAAATTCAGGTCTACAGATGAATCAAAAGTCACAAAGTTCAAAGCGAACAGATGCTGTTTATGTCTATGTCTTCAGGTTTTTGCTAGACTAATTTACAACATTCAAAGCTCATATAAAGTAGACTAGAAGCTAGCTATTACTTTAAATGGATCATGTGCTATAAAGCAGAGTATTTGTCCTAATCAATAACGGCGAATGGACATTTGTAGCCTCACGGTGTTTGTATGACCAAACACTGCAGCTAAATATGATCGTCACTCCTCTTTCGAGAGCATCTGTACTCACATACGACCTCATTCATACATCAGCAAAACCAATTTACGTCAACCATAGATAAAAGCATTCCTATGTAACATTTCCATGCCAATCACTAAGCTCCGCCCCCTTAGTTAACGTTACTAACTCAAACGAACATAATGGTCCATTTCTACATGCGTTCACTATGATAATGTGAACTCTTTAGCTGCTATCAGCATTAACATGACATACAATTTATATTTTAATCACTTAATGTTAAGTTATTTGTGTTATTATAAAAATAGGTGTCTATTTTGAACAACTTGGCTGAGGTAGGATGCTAGTGAAATAGAAACAGAGGGATTTGTCTTGACTCGTTTGTAAATTACTGTCTCCACAGACGTGTCTTGCAGCAGTACTGCGGTCTCTCTGCAAACCACATTAAACTACGGTACAGAAAGAGTGTGCTATTTAAAAGCAGTGACACAACAACAACATAAACAACACATTCGCCTGTTGACGATAGTTTACAAACAATAAAACATCTCAAGTCGCTAATATTACTCAGAATTATCGGATTAAGCTGTTTCTTGCTCATAGCCGCAAGATGCCAAAACATTTCTTATGTCTAGCATCAGGAGTTCAAGAGTGACTATTATATTCCATACACACCGAAACATTAATTTTTTGGATTCACTTCCACATTAATATGCTGTTCTCTCTCTCAAAATCTGCAGTGTGTATGTGACCTTTTGATGGTTTCCATTCAGGATGGACTTCCTTGAATCTAAGGTCTAGAAGTTTCAAGGAAGTCTAGAAGTCAGGTTGGTTTTGTTGACTGCATTTTTGACTGAGTTTGTTTTCTGTGCAGTAAAAATGGAGGACAGCCAACCAATGGTATATTCAAAGTATCAACATAGTAACCATAAATGGATCGGTTAGCATGCTTTCTATTTAAAAGACTGTTTAAACTGAGATGGGCCAATCGCCAAAACAGCAGACGGAGGGAATGTCAGAATGACGTCAGCTTACTTTAGATCGGTATGGACTTCATCTTCACCATGGAAGCCAGTTCTTGTTTCTTCACATTGTCCTGTTTTCTCTGTCTGACCCTATAAAGGGAACAATTAAGAGATCAAATAACAGATTGTCTCATGTCTCTGTCTAATTGTTGCAACCTGTTTGTATGGATTTAGTTATGAAATATAGATGTGTAAATAAAGCAGAATTACTACCATAGAAGTGTGATGATAGTTAATAACGCAGCCACCATGACCGCTGCAAACAGACCCAACAAAATCAACAGTCCGAGGCTTCCAGTCTGGTGTAACGATGAATCTGAAGCAAAAACAAAACACAAACTTAAACAAAATGAAACACAAAACAAAGCACGCACGCACACAACAACACACACACACACACACACACACACATACACCTAAAAAAACAAAAAACAAAAACAACAATACAAAACACAAACAAATAAATCAAAATAACAAAACAAAAGAAATAAACAAAAAACACAACACAAAAAAACAACAGTACAACACAAAACAGAACAAAACAAAACACAAATAATTAAAACAAATAAACAAAATAACAAAACAAAAGAAATAAACAAAAAACGACGTAACACAAACAAAACCAAAAAAACAAAATAGTACAACACAAAACACAAACAAATAAATCAAAATAACAAAACAAAATAAATAAACAAAACAACACATACAAATAAACAAAAGACAACAACACAAAATGCAAATAAAGAAAACACAAATAAACAAAGCACAAAAAGAGATAAAACAAAACAAAAACACAACATAATGCAAAAAAAAACAAACAATGAAACAATGCAAAACAACATAAAACAAAGCAACAAAACACAAAATGAAACGAGACAAAATAAAACAAAACAACGAAACAAGACAGAACAAAACAAAATGCAAAATGAAAAACACAACACAAAAAAATAAGATAAAAATAAAAATAAAGAAAATGAGATATATTATTTAGTGATTGTACTTTTTTGTAAATATTACTGTTATAGCATTTGAAAAACCAGTCAAAAAAAGAGAGCCTTGACAAAGAAATATAAATTAAAATAATAATAATATATCCATCTTTATTTACTTCCTAAGGTGATAAAAAGCTATTTCATTTGAATTGCTTTTTGGCCATTTTTTGTCATTTTTGCCATCTTTAGCATATAACGCTCAAGAAATGAAGACATTCCTGTGTGAGCAAAAGCTTTTATGCTCCAAGTTAGTCCAGGCAAAGGGTGGCTACTTCGAAAAGCTCAAACTCTTCTGATAATTTTATGGTCACTACATAATTTACCTTGACACATTTATCAAAAAAAAAAAAAAAAAAAAAAAAAAGAGTAAATTATACAAACTTCATTCCAGTCTTGAGCTGATAAATATGACTCTTGCAATCATACAGCGTGTTCACATTCTAGATGAGTGGTTATAAATACATGGCCTGGAAACAGTTAGCTAATGAAGAGCAGACTGAGTCATGCTGGTCTGCCACATGACTGCATTAGGGAAGACTGGCACGCTTTGATTGGTCAGAGCCAGATGATGGGGGAAAACTCCGCCCACCACAAACAAGCAGAAACCATCTGGATAACGTTTAGGGGGTGAAAAAACTCTGGCTAAGATCTTGAAAGCATCTGATATCGTGTGTTTAATCTGTGAATGCGTATAACGATCCCTGCCAAAACCTATGAGTGAAAAGATAAACTGTCAAACAGAGAAACAACGTTGCGGTTTTAACAAAATTCTCCGAATTCCTTCAACGTACGGTGTATCAAATCTAAACCAATTACCTGGAGACTTGTCTGTCGTCCTCACTGGAAATGAGTTGAAAAATGGAAAGCTAAAATCCACTGGTTCCTCTGTTGGCTCTTTCCAAGGCTCTAAAATTGCAAAACAAATATAATTATATATATTTATACTGCTTCTGAATTATTCATGACCAGCTCTGCTCAAAAGTCATGTCAGGTTTCCCCTTGACAATCCAAAGCTCATAATTTAATTTGCTTTCATGCAGTGGACAGCACTGAATGATAACCAGTGAGGACAAAACATTATTCTGCTGCTACATTTTTTTTTTTTTTAATTATTGTACAGCAAGACTGATGTAAATAGACAGCTCCATTGTAGTGTATTGTGTGCTACTCAAACACAAAGCATGTTAAAAAATAAAGAAATAAATCTTCTGACCATGAATTGCCAACATCCAGATGATTATCTTCCTTTATTAGATTTATCAGATATCTGCCTTAGAACACAGTCCAATATCCCGAAGGACCATGCTAGCTGTGCACAATTTGATTTACGCCATTATGACATTAGCTATCTGAAGGATCTGATGGATGATGGGTCATATATAGTACATTAAAGCACTTCTCAAAAAAGATTGATACATTTTTTATCAATTTATTTGTGATTAGTTTTGTGGATCACGAGTTAATTAAACGCATTGGGCAGAAAGTCTGTTTTAAACATAATCAGTTAGCATATGGATGGTTGATTTCTCTAGACTGGTTTATTTTAAACTGCCTCATGGTGTGACAAATTATTTTAGAAATATTAGAATATTGGAATATTTAACACTTTAACATTTAATCTTTACAGTAAGGTTCTATTTGTTAGCATTAGTTAACATGAACTAAAAATACATCTAAAGCATTTATTCATTTTAGTTAATGTCAACATTTGCTAATTTACTAATTATTAATTATTAAAATCAAAAGTTGTATATGTTAATATTATTTATTAGACGTAGGCAAACTTTAAAAATGAATAGTTGTGTTTTATATAAACATTAACAAAGATTAGTAAATACTGCAACAAATGTATGGCTCATTGTTAATAATGTTAGTTAATGCATTAACTAAGGTTAACTAATGGAACCTTACTGAAATAATATTCCATCTAGTATCTCAACAGTCACACTTTAGTTTAGAGACAATTCTCGCTATTAACAAACTATTAACTTGACTTTTGCCACAGTAAACTCCTAATTTTCTGCTTATTAATAGTTAGTAAGGTAGTTGTTAAGTTTAGGTGTTGGGTGGATTAAGGGATCTAAAATATAGTCATGCAGAATGAGGCATTAATATGTGCTTTATAAGTACTAATAAACAGCCAATATGCTATTAATATGCATGCTAATAAACAACTAGTTAATAGTAAGTATTGGTCCCTAAACTAAAGTATTACCATCTAATAACTAATAAGAGCTCAATGCAAAAATGCATGCATAATAATTATAACACAAACTGAAAAATGTTGTCTAAGATTTCTACACATATAAACATAACTTTAAAAAAAATGATTTTCTATTTCTGGTCATTTCATGCCTGCCACTGGTGCATAACACTGACTGCATAATTAAATGACACTGGTTACGTTCGTCAGTGAGAGTTAATATGTGTGAGGTAAGTGTGTGAGTGTGTGTGTGTGTGTGTGTGTGTGTGTGTGTTCACTCACCGATCCACGGCTGGGCTTCTACCACATGACTCCATTCACTCCACTGGCTGTGGTTGATCAGGGCATCCTGAGCTCTGATCTGGATCTGATGCAGGCGACCCACTAGAGCGTCCATGATCTTTAGGCTTGTGTTCTCCTCTGTCTCCAGCTGAGGAAAGATCAACAGATGCATCCAATTAACAGAGGATATATATCAGGGCCGGACTGGGATGCAATTTCAGGCCGGGAAATCTCACAGTCATCCAGGCCACACAGAAAAAAAAGCCCAAAATTTTACCTTTTTGGTTACAACAGCTTGACACCTAGCAGTACACCATACATATTAGTACCTTAAGAGTAGTGATTCGTACCCTTAAGGTACTAATTTGTAGGCCTACCTATTAGGCGTAAAAAAGGAACAAATATGTCCTTTTAAGGGTCCTGTTCCAGTGACAAGCTGATGTACCCCAAAAGGTGCAATTGGCCCCTTTGGCCCCTTATTTCTCCCGGTGCTCCCGATGGTCAAATCATGCTAGATAACCAGACCATAAGGTCTTGGTTATGTCATCTTAAGTGATGCTATCATTCATGATTTTTTTTTAATCATCTAAATTTTATTTATTAATTTATTACAAAATAATTCGAATTATTATATTACAATTTTTCTATTATTCTATACAACTATTATATATTTTTTTCACCTGAGGTGTTATGCCAAAAATAAAATTAGTAACAAAAATGTTAATATATAATGTTTTTTTTATAAACATTTCCTATTATTATCAACGCTGAAAACAGTTGTGTTGCTTCATATTTTTGTGGATACATTTTTCAGTATTCTTTGATAAATAGAAAGATGAAAGAACGGTGTTTATTTGAAACAGAAATCTTTTGTAACATTATAAATGTCTTAACTGTCACTTTTGATCAATGTTATGTTTCCTTGCTGAATAAAAGCATTAATTTCTTTAAATCACAAACAAACACACACACACACACACACACACACACACACTTTTCTCTTTCGGAACACAACGTGACAGCAGTTTTGCCTGTTTTGGTTTTCATTCATTTTATTAAAGCAAAAACAAAAATGAGCATGGTTATAACTGGCTAGCTTCATCACTTGTCAGACAAAGCATAAACAACCCTTACAGTGGCGCAAACACACACACAAATGCACATACACTTGGACTATACCCCACACACACACACACAGAGCTCTGGAGACAGCAAACATCTGGTTGTCTGATGAAAGGCCAAGCAGCCTGGTGAAAGCAGATAAGATCAGCCTATGCAGAGATGACTATGGGGCTCTGAGATAAGACAACACTGTTTGTGTGTGTGTGTGTGTGTGTGTGCTGAGAGGGCTGGACTACAGGACTGTTTATTGAAGACTCATATGAAATGAGGGTTGTATGTCAGAATCAGAATCAGAATCAGAATGAGCTTTATTGCCAGGTATGTTTACACATACGAGGAATTTGTTTTCGTGACAGAAGCTTCCACAGTGTAACAGAATGACAGTGACAGAACAAAAAACACAGATAATAAAAAATAAAAAATAGAACAAGTAAATAAGGAATAAAAATATATAAATCGACAATTGTATGTGCAGGTATATTACAATGGACAGTTTTGTATGTACAGGTACTGTATATTATGTGCAAATTTTAGTTGAAAAATCCTTATTTGTCCGGGAGAGCAGAAGGAGTTCGTTAGCATGTTGGTTGCAAACCAAGAAAACAACCCTTTCCTCATACAATGAAAGTCCAAAGGGGTCCACAATGTGGTTTTGGACCACATTGCATTTCATTATATGGACAAACAATATTTTCTTTTAAGTTAAAAAAAAAGTCACAGAGGTTTGGAAGAATGTTGGTAACCCAACTGTTGTTAGTAGCCATTGACTTCCATAGTATTTTTTTTTTCGGTAGCCATAGACTTACTACTTCAATGGCTACTAGCAACTGTTGGGTTACCAACATTCTTCAAAATATCTTCTGCCACACACACACACACACACACACACACACACAAATCTAATATATAACTAATTATTGACACTAATTGCTTGTAAAAGGTTCTTACCATTGACCAGTAGTTGGAGCCGATCGGCCGGTAGCGCAGTAAGAAGGTTAATGGAAAAGCAGCCATGATTTCAACCGACCAGGATGAAGGCCAACTCCACTGCACCAGTAACTGAGTGGGCTGACCTTCCACCTGAAGAACTCGGACGTCCTCGGGAGGATCTGGCTTCACTGAAACCACAGAATTACAGACATCAATTCTTATTACATAAAACTGAAAAAAAAATGGAGAAAAAAAGAAAGATTATGGAACCAAATGCTACTCTAAAAGAGCTGAAGAAATCTTTAAGAAAGCTTTTCAACCCCCCTGAGTACTTGTTGAGGTGGGGAAGTGGACATGTGTAAAACATATTTCAAAACTCTATTATAATATAAATCAAAATATATGAAATGAATCAATGAATGTGCTAACGATATGAAGGCATATAATCTCACAGAGTTCATGAGGATCTATCTGGAGGATGGTGGAGTTGGATCCCAGCGGGTTGATTTCGGTGATGTTCACCAGGATCTTTGAGGTCCAGAACGGTGGGTTAGTAATCGTACACTCATTCACCCCAATGTGCTCCTGCTCGCAGGGCTCCACATCTCTGCCCTTAACACTGTAGAAGTCAAATCAAGTCAAGTTTATTTGTACAGCGCTTTTCACGATACAAATCATTGCAAAGCAACTTTACAGCAAATTAAGTTTCTACAATATTTAGTGGTAGCTTATCAGTGGTGACTGAAAACAGCAGAAGGAGATAGATAGATAAATAAATAACATATAACATAACATAACATAACATAACATAGCAACATAATTATTTGATCAAAAATACAGCAAACATAAAATTACAGTTTACATTTTAAAATAACTATTTTCTAAGTATATTTCTAAATGTAAAATATTTCAAAATAATTTATTCCTGTGATCAAAGCTGAATTTGCTTTACTTTTTCTTTAATTTTCTTTAATTTTCACATTACTCCAGTCTTCAGTGTCACATGATCCTTTAGAAATCATTCTGATATGCTGATTTGATGCTCAACAAACATTTCTAATTATTATCAATGTTGAAATATTTCAATATTTTTTTGTGAATATATTCAATTTTTTTTTTAGGATTCTTTGATGAATAAAAAAATTAACATGCTCAACAAGTGCATCATATTCAAACATTACAAATGTTTTTACTAAGACTTTTGACCAATTTAATATGTGTTTGCAGAATAAAAATATTAATTTCTCACTGTATAAAATCTTATTGACCCCCTCCCCCCAACTTTTGAACAGTATATATCAAAAGTTAAATAAAATACTAACACTTTACATTAAGGTTACATTTACATTATTTAACTATATTAGTTAACACAAACAATACTTAAACAGCATTTATTAATCTTAGTTAATGTTAAGTTAAAATTTTACTAATGCATTATTAACATTAAAGGTAACACTTTAGTTTAGGGACCAATTCTTACTATTAACTAGTTGTTTATTAGCATGCATATTACTAGCATACTGGCTGTTTATTAGTACTTATAAAGCACATATTAATGGCTTATTCTGCATGACCGTATTTTAGATCCATTAATTCAACCCATACCTAAACTTAGCAACTACCTTACTTACTATTAATAAGCAGCAAACTAGGAGTTTATTGAGGAAAAACTCTTAGTTAATAGTGAATATGTGTTCCCTATTCTAAAGTGTTACCACAAAGGTTAATAAATGCTGTCAAATATATTGTTCACTGTTAGTCCATGTTAGTTAATGCAATAACTAATGTTAACAAATGAGACCTTATAGTAAAGTGGTACGAATAAAATATAATTTTAATAGATAGATAGATGATAGATAGATTTTAATTTAATTTTAATATGATTATTATACACAAAACGAGATGAGACCGCACCTGTAGGAGGTTCTGTATAATGTGGGCAGGTGTGTTGTCTTAGTTTGTACCCAGGAGTAGTAGATTTTCATATGATTCGGCACACGACAAGACACTCTGACGAAATGAGGCAGATCTAAAAGAAGAAGAAGACAAAAAATATCTCATGAGCTAACTTTAGACACAATACACTTTATCTGTGAACATCCAAACAGACAGACTGCACAAGACGGCTGTTTAACTCAAGCGCTGCCTTCAAGAAGATGAGGGTCCGTAATACGGTAGACTAAACTTATACACACACTATAACCAGCAATCTCAACCCTTCCTATCAGGAAACTGTGGAGCTGTGATTCAAGGACTTCATGTTAGAGGAAGTGCCCTGAGTTAAACAGCAAGGGCGTACGACTGCACACTTTCTTCATCTCCCAGGGCACAAAGTGCTTCCTTTTTACTAGAACATTTCCACCGTTTCCAGCATTTCCAGCACCACTTCTGAGGCATCGAGCAATTATGAGACGTATATACAGTTACAGAGATACCAACATTTCAGTTGTCAATACCAATGTCAATGAGTGTCCTTCTTTAAAGCATGGCAAAAGTTTATAAAACATAATGATTTAAAACATACGTTAAAGTAAAAATTTGTATTTGATATTAGACACTCTTTCCCAAATAAGCACCATTTTAGAGGTCTCAAGCGCACATATGCACTTCTAGGATGTGATCCGAGATGAAGTTCGCAATGAGTCAAGAGCATGATTCAAAGTTTATCAGGTCCGTTATGTTTATGTTGCTACAACACTTTCATTTGTTTAAGCCAACAATGTTCTTAAGATGACGTTTTCAATCAGAAGCAATGGAACTTAGTCGTGGTAGATGCCATATTAAAGTTAAGAGGAATGAAAACGAGGCTGCGAGGGATAAACATATAGTCTGTTCAATTCGTCACACAGTGTTAGGGTTAGGAAGGAATGTCCTGATTCAATACAAATTGAGGTCAGTCAAGAGCATTTGTAGAAAAATGTTGATTGACACAGAAGATCATTTAGGTTTGCCCTTCATTTAAAAAAGGTGTAAAAAAAAAATAATAATAATAAAATAATAATAATAATAATAATAATAGTAATAATAATCATAATAATAATAATAATAATAATAATAATAATCATTAAGTAAACATAAGTAAATAAGCATTATTAAAAGCATAACTAAATAAATAAAAAAATCAAAAATAAAAGTATAAATAAAAATATAAATAAAATGATAGATAGATAAACAAACAAACCAACAAATAAATAAACAAATAAATAAATACATTTTTTTGGCTAAGTGATGGACACCAAGGCACAAGGTACAATAGTACATCGTCACACTTCATTTTAAGGTCCAATTCTCGCTATTAACAAACCATTAACTATGACTTTTGCTTCAATAAACTCCTAATTTGCTGCTTATTAATAGTAAGTAAGGTAGTTGTTAAGTTTAGGTATGGAGTTGGATTCAGGGATCTAAAATATAGTCATGCAGAGTAAGGCATTAAAATGTGCTTTATAAGTACTAATAAACAGCCAATATGCAAGTTATATGCATGCTAATAAAGAATGAATTAATAGTGAGTATCGGTCCCTCTACTAAAGTGTTACCAGTACATCTATTCATTGTGGCCTAGTTTTCATTAGCATTAAATTAAATATGGCATCTACTTTAAGGCGATTCTTTAAACCCTTATCCTCAAATATTTTATCAAATGAACCACATTGTGAGTCAAAACACAAAACAAGGGACTCTTGTATCGTTGAAGCTGACTTACGACCCAGGCGTAGTTTGATGGACTGCAGTAAAGTTCCTCGTTCATCATGGCAGCTGTAGTTGCCTTCCATCGAGTGTGTGGTGTTCAGTAGTGTAAGCGAGCCCTTGTGTGTTTGCCACGGCGGTACTGAGCTCCCATTGAACCGCCATTCCACCGGAGACCTGCGAACCCATCCACAACTCAAGAGTCAACAACAACCTTCACCTGCTTTCCTTGCAAACCTGCTCTAATCAAAGATAGGCCTACAAAATAACCGCAATCAACGCCAACTGGACCTGCGTATCCTGTTACTCATACATGTGTTGTGCAAATCTTATTTTTGGCACTGGGATTATCTTGGATAGTGTCTTTATTGGCAAGAAATATGCATTTATTTGAAACACAAGGCTTGCCAAAATCTGAGGCTGGGGAGTGAAGCCCCCCCCACCCACAGTGAATAGCCTCGATGTGTCCAAACCCTATATGGACTGGCCCTGTGCCCTTACAGAGGGTGGTTAAGCACATTATTATCACTCCTTACAGGAAAGCTTAGCTCTGGAGTCTAATGGAGCTCTAGCGAGGCTTAATATAGACTGGGAAACGTACCCGTCGTGAGCGCCTCCACATGTGAGTGTGACCCTGGAGCCCAGTCCACCGAACTGGACGTCTGAAACTGAAAGCAGGAGACATGTGAGCTGCTCTATTCCAGAAGTGACAAGAGACATCTCATCAAGGGATTATGTTATCAACCAGCCAGTGGTACATAAATAAAATATGTAAAATAAATAAAATACAAATATATAAGTATTAGGACAATCAAAGTTAACATGTTAAACACATGAAATGCATTTATTTATTTAGCCATTTACACATTTATACACGTATCGATTCATAATTTATGCACAACAAGTCTCAACTGAAATATCATCCAAGTGAAATATCACATTAACAGTGTATAAACATCATCTTCATCATCCTGTATAAACACCTTTACACATGTAAGATTGAGACCAAAAAGTGGTGGGGAAAGTGTGTTTATTTGATTTGTTGCTGTATTGCATGGCATGTTTGTTTCGGTGTAGTTTAAGTCCGAATTATGTTCAGATATGTATAATTACATGGTAATTATACAGTTTAAATATGCTTATTACACAGCTCTGTGGAATACTTGATTCTGATTGGTCAGTTGCGACATTCCGAGGTCTGTTCTCCCTCGATAACAAGCAGTAAAAACTAATAACACAGGCTCATCCGGGTAACTGAAGTCGGCGCTATACTGCCAGGAACAGTTTTTTTTCTTGGTGGAAACTTTGCGTTTGGTTAGCTAATAAAATATTAAAACTCGATTCAAAATTGTGTACAATTATTTAATTATGTCATCCTGGTATCGCGGACTCACTCTCTCGTTTCATACAAACGCAGCTGCTGCCATTTTGCTACGGTTTTGTACGCTGTAATGGATTATAAGATAACTAACAAACTGGTAAGATTTTAAAACATTTTCGTCTTAAATCTTTTATCGCCATATTTATTTATGTGGTGAAACGATGTGTAACTGCACCGTATCCCTTAAATGTCTGTCTAGTTTGAACTTGCCGCTTACTCGCAACTGCTGTGTTCACGGAAACTTTGTGTTCAAATATTTCAACTCAAATCAATATTTTGTGTCTAATTATTTACTTATGAGGCAAGCAGCCATGTAATAAGCGGGATAATGTACATCTAGCCGGTTGTTATCGCTGAATAACCCCCATTCAGGGTGATCCAGTCGGGGGTTATTCTGCGATAACAACCGACTGGATGAACATTATCCCTTACATATACTGCAAAGACTGACATACATGCAGACTAATAAAGATATATATTTTTTCATTTAAAAAGAAACTAAATGTGCTACAAAATACTACAAAAAAAAAAACATATCCATTAAATAATGAACTAACATCTCTAAATACAATATATTGTAATTTCTTAAATATAAAATATTATCAATTTATATGATGAATTGCATACATATTTTTGTGGAAAATTACTTCAATCAAAAACCGTAAAGATTGCAAACTTTTGAATGGTTGTGTATATTTATGTGTATTTGTATTTTTGTTTTCATCAACATTTTAATTGCTTTTCATAGTTTTAGTTTTATTATGAATGATTTAAATAATAATAGCTCATAAGTGTGATTGTTTTTCTACTTTTCCAAACATTCTTTATTTTATTTCTTTTTTTTTTTTGTAGTATTTATTATGATTATTATTGTATTATGATTATGTATTTATTTATTTATTTTTATTGAATCTCTTGTGTCACATACGTGTGCAAAGCATCATGGGAGCGAAAAGTGTCCATCAGTTGTACCCTTCGAAATCCTTCATTCCAAAAGAGCTCTTTGAAGTGACCAGCTTTCAGCACTTCGCTGCATCCATGATTGTTCTCACTAAAAAGTGCCCTTAAGAGGCAAATTGATCCCATTTGGAACGCAGTGAAAATCTGTGGTTGGTGACATCAAAAGACAGTCAGGCCTGTTCTTGGTCAGAATGAGTTGAAAAGTAGGCCAGACTTTGTGCTGATATTTAATAGTCAGGCTGAGACTATAATGCAATTATTTTGCAATGGGAGCTTGACTGTATTTCAACGACTTTAAATTATATACAGCTTGACAAGCACCAGTTGTTAAGAGTTAAGAGTTGCTTCCTCAAAAACTGCACTGCTTCATCCGTTCATCATTATAAGGCTTGCAGTGATTCTATAGCAAGAATCAAGGTGTTTACGTTAATGTGCTTTTCTGCCTAGTCAGATTTCAGTATTTATATCAGACATTTACTGCCAAGAGTTAAACAAAGAGCAAACACACACACGCACAAGGTCTCACACACACTGCGAGTGGAGTCGATCCAGTGCCCAGGGTCTAACTGCGCTCAAGAAACGCTCATGCTCAATGTCGGCTTTCAGGAAATTCTGGCAAAAGCATTTTATTTGAAATCCCACCACATTTCTCAAATTTCTCCCTCTCTCGCCAGCGAAATCTCAGCCATAACACACACAGACCAGAGCTGCATGCATTAATTGAGCAATCCATATGCGGGGCAATGGAGAACTGGGGACTTTAAACAGAGATGTTTATTGTTCCACAAAACAAAGCCATGGCTATGTTCCTGGTCTGGATTAAAATCTAATTGTCACATGATAAAACTTCATGCTATCTGCTCTAGTTGTTCTGTATAATATCATCCTGCTTTGTCAACAAAGAAATGCTACAAAGACTTGTGACGAGGTCCATATGCTGGAATGCAAATCCAAATACTAACAGCAACAACATTTGAATGCTAACGTGGTTTTATGCTATCGGTTTACTGTAGTTTTGGTCAAATAAATGCAGTCTTGGTGAGCAGAAGAGACTTTTCCCAAAAAATGTTCAAAAATCTGATGAAACAGGCATTATACCAAAGCCTTTAGGGACTTTGGTTAAACTTTTGAAACCACACATTATTATTATTTCTGTGTTACAAACCTTTTAACAACAGAATAACTGGGATAAAAGTTTATAGTTTGATGTCTACGGTAGCAAAATAGAGTAAAATTAACTTTTTGAAAGCCTTTTTTACACTTGTATGTGTTGTATAGTTTATCTCTGTACGCCTGTAGCTGGCAACAAAGTATTTGTCACTAAATCATTAATTCAAGAGATTTATTCACAAACGCTGATTCATCCAACAAGGAAACAAGTCTTTATGAATGAGACATTGACTCATTCATTAAAATGATTCTTTAATTATTTTGTTCAAATTAATATGTTTTTGGTGGAACCTCTATAAATTACATGTTATTTTGCTTAGCCTGTTTTGTTTTCTTCAGATCCGTGGGAGAATCGTGATCTCAATTTTAATTTGGGGCCATTTCTTCCAAGGAGGCAAGGGAGGCGGTGCCTTCTCAAAAAACTGGATGAGAAAATAATAAATAGTAATTAACTAAAACTATGCAAATCTTACAAAATATGAGATTAAAAAGCGGCTCCCCTGAGAGTGAATGGGGGAATGTTACATGAGGGGAGGCAATGCCTCTATCATGCTACGATTGGGTCATGCGATAAATCCTGCCTCTTGTTTGTTTTTGTATTTTGTTTTTGCACAAACATTTGCATTTTGGCTGTTCGTTTACACAACAAAGGTGTTTTGGCGGCCTGAAAATGGGTTTTGAAAACGGGTTTTAAAGTGCAAGTGTTTTGAAAACAATACCATTATCGTCTCTGTGTAAATGTGAATTTGTGAAAATGGTGATGTCGCCACCTACTGGCCTGGAATGAATAATACAGTGTTTTAGTTCTTTTTGTGGATCCATGTGAACAGGGGGTCGTTTTGACAACATTGTTGTCTGTAAGCAAAACTTTTCAAAGACACAAAGGAAAAACTCTGTTTTAGTACAATTGTTGTTGTGTCAACGTACCTTTAGTCACCGCTTTGTCACTTCAAAATAAAACTTGAAATAACATGATCTGTGGGGGTTTTAGTGATCAATCAGCTTGGTGAAATTAAAGGTACATCTCCATTTCTTTGACCAGTGTTTACCGAGCTTTGATGACTGATGACCTAAAAATAATTTGATTATTAAAACAAACAGCTGAACATCAGCTTACAAATAAGATATATTGTTTAAACTGCTACTGCTTTGAGCTCTTATTTTGGAATAAATGTGACCCGTGCTGGGAAAATGAGTGAGAATGCGCACGGGCTAATTTTGAGCTACAGGTAAAAAAAAGTGAAAAAAGTCGATTTTAGTTGATTTTGAGGTTTTCACAAAAATGAGTTCATTAAGCCCTCGTCTAGCAATCCCAATGCTCAAAATAATAATTTTAGATGTTTAATTACCTGTATTTGTATGTTTTCTGAGAGGAGTACCTTTTCTCCGCTCGTTTCTCGCGCTGACTGTTATCTGAAGCACGGACATAAAGGCGTTTCCGACTGTGTGCGATCTCGATAAATATACATATACTCAGAGTTACAGTATTTAAGTATTCACGCCAATATAATCTGTTATGTCTTAAGTAAACGTTTGGGGAACTGTTGGGGGAAAACATCTGATGTGTAACATTATATTAGATCCATGCATTACAGTTGGTCAATATAGGCCGTCCCATTAATGTTAATCTAACAATAAAAGAAAAGAGTGAATCACTCGCTGCTCTTGATTTAACTGCTTTTGTAGTTTTAATAATCAATTTATTTGTAATAAACACAGTAAAGGGATTTTTACATTTGGTTATTTGTTTTTGTTGAATTTTATTGTTTAGACATAAAATGAAAAAGGTAATGCACTATTTGTTTTTTTCTTATATTTGTTCTATATAAAAATAGCTACAGTATATTGTGATTATTAATATAGTAATTATTATTAAGAAAAGAAGTGGAGGAAAAGTTGGAGTGAAGCAACGTTGTGGAGCAACGTTGCAGGGGATTTTGCTTTGGAACCTTCAGAAAACTTTAACTCGATTTTTCTCAGAATTGACTTTGCTGACTCTTATCGACTTCATGGGTGTGTTTTGGGTGTAACGTGCAATAAACCAATCAGAGTCTCATCTCCCATTCCGTTTAAAAGCCAGTTGTGCTCACGCCATGGCGGATTCGCTATTTACATGGCGGAATTTACAAGCGCAAAGACAGAACGCATCTCCAGAGAGGAAATAAACCATTTACGGGGCACAATAATAATCTTTCACATTGTAATCCTTTCATTTTGAATATTTGGCATGTTTGTGTGCTGCTGCGCATCCCTGTGTGTGTAATAAGCAGAGTGTACAGGCATTGTTCACCTGCCTATAGGCGCATATTATTAATGTGCTCTTTAATTAACAAAAAAAAATTAATTGCACCATTGACTTTAGACCAGGTCTCAGTTGGTCATAAGTGCAGTCTATTTCAGTTGCCTCAAAATAGCAATGTGCCAACAATGCGCCTGAACACACCTCGTTTTCAGACCAGCACGCCCATGGGCGCACAAATGGGTGCAAATTAATTTGCTATTTAAACAATGTGGCACAGGACATGAAAATGATAACTGCATCGGGCTGAAACTAGCAAAAAACACGACTATGCGACTTGAAAATCTGATGAGATACTTTTTTTTTCCTGGTATGGATTAAAATGAAGCTTGCACATGCTAAACCTTTTAGCTATCTGGTGTAGTTGCATTGCATATTTTCATCCTGCTTTGTCTAAACAAAGACATGCTACAGAGACTTTGACAAGTTCCATATGCTGAAACACAAATCCAAATACTAGCAACAACAACATTGCTAACGTGGCCAGCTATCCTGAAGCACTTTGGCCCAAATAAAAACAGACCGTACCTTCATTGGTCCATATCTCTGACTGGACGTGGTCAGAGAAGAGTATGATGATTCCAGTGACTATTAGATCGCCAAGGCATGACACTAAACCGGGCATCTGTAAGGGAGAATAAAACAAGAGTAACTCAAGGGGAAGTCCCATTTAAAGAGTTAATGAGTATCATTCTGTGTAAACGGTCCACCTGCTTAGCAACCAGCCAGGTTGTGAAACAACATAATTCACTGCTCTAATTTGGATATAGGCAAACAAGACACCATGGGAATACGTGCGTGACCGTTGGATATTTCCGTACACACAGCACAGAGAATCAACATCTCCACAAACCGGTGTTCCCATGAATGATTTTAACAGCACTGCTGAAGTCTGGGAAGGTTTGCAAGTCCATCCACATTCATTAACTGTTGAGGATATTCTGGGGTATGACGTCAAATGAAAAAGATCTGCTATCTGAAATATGGTTAGGGGAGCCTTGTATCAACAAACTGTAAACATTTTAAACAAATTCAGTAACTGACAGGATACATCTGTCATACAGTGGGTATAGAAAAGAATCCCCCCCCCCCCCTTAAAATAATCACATTTTGTTGCTTTGCAGCCTGAAATGAATACGGTCACAGTTTTTGTTTTGTCCAGCTGTTTTCTTTACTCAGTGCAACTTATAACATCCAAGTGAAATATATAACACCAACATGTCAGAAAAATAAATAAATAAAAAATAAAACAGAATCACTGAGTGGGAAAAAGGATCAGCCCCTTGTGTCAGTATTTTGTTGAACCACCTTTTACTTTAATTACAGCTTTTAGTCTGTTGGGATAAGTATCTGTCTCTACTAACTTTGCACATCAAGACTGCAATATTTCCCACTCTTCTTTGCAGAACTGCTCAAGTTCATTTCAGTTTGATGGTGAGCGTTTGTGGACTGCAGTCTTCAAGACAGATTTTCAGTGGGGTTTTAGTCTGGGCTCTCTTTTCTGACATGTTGGAGTTATCTCTTTCACTTGGATGTTATAAGATGCACTGAGTAAATACAGCAGGATAAAACATTAAAAAAAAACCCTAACCCTAACAAAATGTGATTATTTTAAAGGGGGTGATTGTTTTGTATGCCCACTGTACGTGTGGCTGGAATTTGGCTAGCAGGCATCATTTTATGAGAAACGGATGCTTCTAAAGCCTGATGAAAAGCAAAGTAAATGCAGGAAACATCTTCACAATCCAAGACCCTAAGTCACTAAACCTCACAACAAGACTCGGGAGAGTTCATTAATGGTGGAAAAGTATTGCCAAATGTAAGTGATAAAATGAAAGTGAAAGTTATGAACATTAAATAACAAACAAATCTTTTTCCTCTTTTTTTTTAATACGCAAACCTCAAATTTCAACACTATATGGCATTAGAAAACAATAACAATTATAAATTAATTCATGCAATTTAATTAATGACTTTTTTTTTAATTGGGTAACACTTTATAATTAGGTTCCATTAATTATTATTAATTAATTAATTAATAATAATTATTATTCTAAGCCATTTATTAACATTAGTTAATGTTAATTTCAACATTTTCTAATGCATTATAATCAAAAGTTTTATCCATTAATATTACTTAATGGATCTAACATGAACAAATAATGAACAGTTGTATTTTTATTAACTACAAAAACAAAGATTAACAAATGCTGTAACAACTGTAGTGCTCATTGTTGCTCAGTAATGCATTTAATAATTACATTTAAGGTATTTTGTGTCTTTAATGTGGCATTTATCCATCTTATAAACATGTAAAATGTCATTGGCATAGCTCCATTCTGCCAAAAACATTACAGTGAAAAAGATCTTTAATGACAGAAATATTACACATCAGAAAAGAAAAAAAATAAACAAAACACTAAATAACGATGCTGAAATTTAAAGCAGAAATGTTTGATGTAAGAATTAAAATACAGTTACAGTACACATTGTTGCTCAATGTTCACTTCAATGCTTATTTTTACTTCAGAGCATCACCTTCCCATATTTAGCTTCAGACAGAACATAAATTTGTCAATGAAATCACATTGTCTCGATGACTCACACATAATGATGCATCAACTGCTGTCAGTCTGGACAAGTGATGTGCTAAAACCACAATGTGTGGTGATTTACACATAATCAAAACAAAGGGCAGCTTTTTATATTTTTGTATAGAAAATAATGTAATTTTTAAACTGCACAACTGTCACACTTTTGTGAAGGGAGGCACACAAAAACGAAGGTAATCCAAATAACATTTAATAGTAATCCAAGATGATGAAGATTCATACAAAACACAGGGTAACACAAGCAGCATACACAACTAATAACCGGCAGCTAACTGAACTGAAAGGGGAACTTAAGTAGTATGAGATAACGAGGGACAGACAGCTGAGGATGACAACTAATCAAACACAGGTGAACTGAATGAACTAATCAAAGGACGACAGAAACTAAATGAAAACACAAAAGAAGTCCATGACTGTGACAGTACCCCCCCCTCCTCCGGCCAGGCGTGACTTTGCGCAGTAAAAAAAACAAAAGAGGAGGGACGGAGGGGACTAAGAAGGAGGACAAAGGAGCGGAGTTGGGATGGTAACAGGGGATGGCGAAGGGCAGGCAGGAAGGCAGGCAAGTGGATGACCAAGGTGGCGACGACGGAGGGAGGAACCATGCCGGATCAGATGGAGGGAGGAGCCAGGATGGAGACAGGAGGAGCCAGGACAGATCAGACGGAGGGAGGGAGCCGATGGAGGGAGGAGCCATGGTGGAGGAATGGCTGATGACTCCAGGGGGCCGACCAACAGTGGCGGAGTAGGTGGGAGAGGAGCCCGGGGCGGAGACGGAGAGCCGACGAGCCAGGGCGACGGGAGGATCCGGAGGGCCAGGCGGAGCAGATGGCTCAGGCGACTGAGGCGTAGGTGGGGATCCGGAAGGCCGCGGTGGAGCAAGAGCGACAGCGGACCAAGGTGGA